CATTTGTTTGCACATAAACACGCAGATGAGGTACTGGTAGAACTACACCAGTTCGGGGTATGATCATCTAGCAAAGGGTTTTTACCTGTATCACCCCTAATGGGGATGCAGTTATATGTGTAAAGCTTATTCCCCTTACAGGAATAAACTATACCGGAATCTTTATACTAATGTCAATGTGGCTACCTGTATACTACAGACTTCGGCCAGCCTAGCTCCTTTGGTCAAGGGTGTGATAAGACATCATTTGTGACTGATGCAGCTGTGCAGGCAAACGCCCCTAGAGTAGATGCAGTTATATTGGCAACACCAAGCTTCTGAGCATGCTGCTTGTTTTGCTCCGGGAGAACCAGTGTGAGCAGCTGGAATACACTGTACCAGGAAAAGCACAGGTATGCCACAGCTGGGGGGAGGGATAGCTCAGTGGTTTGAGCATTGGCCTGCTAAACCCAGGGTTGTGAGTTCAATCCTTGAAGGGGCCACTTAGGGATCTGGGGCAAAATCAGTACTTTGTCCTGCTAGTGAAGGCAGGGGGCTTGACTTGATGACCTTTCAAGGTCCCTTCCAGCTCTAGGAGATAGGATATCTCTATTAATTTTGGGAGGAGGGATAGCTCAGGGGTTTGAGCATTGGCCTGCTAAACCAAGGGTTGTGAGTTCAGTCCTCAAGGGGGGCCATTTAGGGAACTGGGGTAAATATCTGTCTGGGGATTTGTCCTGCTTTGAGCAGGAGGTTGGACTAGATGACCTCCTGAGGTCCCTTCCAATCCTGATATTCTATGTGACATTATGAGTGTAATATAATATCTCATTGAAAGGTGACAGGGCCAGAAAGAGTTAATTACCTCCCAGACTGACCTGACCCATGGCCGAACATTAAAGACTAGTTAGGAAGATCTGTAAATGAATGGTGCTTTGAAATGCCGCCTGCATTGTTAGAGATAGAAGGGGAGCTGTTTGCTCAGGTCTTGTGATGTAAACAAACACGTCTAGTCTATTACTACTTTGATTCAAAGATCAAAAAGGGAGTATTAACATTTAGGAAGACACTTGAGTGAAATAATATTATTGTCTCTATGTCTCTTTGAAGGTATTGGTAACCTGTATCTGAACTGTTTAC